TGCATTTAATTTCCTCGCAATATATACCAAAGATACGTTAATTGGAGCAAAGAGAATTTTAATAAAGTGACTTATAAATATATAGTGTTAGCAGTAATTCTACAGAAAATGAAGATCATATTTTATATAAGCCTTTGCCTTCACAAGGTTTACTGAACCACCCAAGCCCATCTGGCAATAGCTCTTCTCCAAAGTTCCCTTCTACTACTTGGGAACATTCCATTTTCAGCATCAATGAAAAAGAAATCTACTATGCTCCACTGCACATCACAGTAACCAATGTTTATTTTTAAAAAGTTATCATCAAAAAAATTGGAAACTATCTCCATAATTAAATAGTTATGGCAAAACCTCATAATGTTCAGGGGCTATGACAGTTTAAACAAAATAAAACATTAACTTTTCTAAACCGTCAAAATCATTTGGATTTAGTCCCAATTTTGAGTGACGATCAGCCAAACCATTCATCCAGTGGAAATTTAAAACAAAACACATAATTATTAATATTTCTTACCCTCCCAGAACAGCATCTAAGAAAAAAGATTTCCATTAACAAGGACTTTTACAGATTAAACAGGCACATCCAAACGAGGTTCAAACCACGGAAAACAAAGTAGGGCACAACTAACAACATTAAAAACATAAGGAAGCTCTAAGGCCAAAGAAGTCAAGAGATGTCAGAGTCTTTTGTTTATAAATACACTCACAAAACATTTAATGAGAAAGATCTAAATACTCCCCAAGAAAATTAGCAGTTAAGGCTACCTCTGATAAAATACACTTCAGCGAAATGGACAAATTATACAATAACATAAATTCATAAAACAAACTAAAAAAGATTGGGAAGCTAAATGTTCCTACAACTAAATCAATTCTTAATAACAACAAAAATCCTACCAAGAAAACACCAAGCCCAAAGTTTAACAAAAGATAATAGAAAAAAGAATAAATCTTGCCCCAAATGTATGAAATTAATACAACCTTAATATCAAACCAAAAGTCAATATAAAAAAGGGAAATTACAAATCAATCTTATTGATAATAAATGTAAAATATACTAAATCAAATATGGCCAAATTGAATTCAATAATTTAAAGGTTTCTTTCATGAACACATGGTTAGTTTAATATTAGAAAAAGCTGTTAATATTTCCAAAGACTGAAGGAAGAAATGATCTGGTCATCTCAATATATACAAAAAAAAATCATTCAATAATATTCTACAACAATTTATGATATAAACTATTAGTAAGCCAGAAATAGAAGAGAACATCTGTACTTTATAACAAGTATCTATAAGAAACCTACAGCAAACATTGTGCTCAGTGGTGAAGCATTAAAATCACTATCTACAAAATCAGCAGCCCTGCAAAGATGTCTGTTATCTCCATTTTCGGTATTTACTGGAGGTTTTGGTCAGTGTGTATGAACACACAAACAGACACACAGACACAGACACACAATATAGATGAACTTACCAGAAGTCAAGAGATAAATGCCATTATTTTATCATTTATATCAATTGTCTTTATATAAAATCCAAAAGAATCCATACATTTATAAACTATTAAAAAGAAAAAAAATTTTTTAAGAGTTTAGAAAGTTTTTTCTATTATCAAATCACTATGCAAAAGCAAAATGCACATGCGCATACCAGCAATAATGCTAGAAAGATCATTTTTTAAAAATAAAATTTATAACAACCAAAAATAAGAAATTTAATTAAATTATAAAGAATTGTAATTCCACCAACAAAAGTATGCAAGACCTTTATGAAGAAAATAAAATGTCATTAAAAGATTAAAGAAGAAAAAAAGATTAAAGAAGATCTAAGCAAATATAGAAAAATGCTACGCTCATAGATAATACATTACCTTCGGGAGGTCAATTCTTCCCCAAAGTTAATCTATAAAACCAATGCAATTGTAGGTTGAGCATCCCAAATCTGAAAACCTTAAATCCAAAAATGCTCCAAAATGTGAAGCTTGTTGAGCACGGACAAGATGCTAAAAAAGAAAAAGATTCATTGAAGCATTTCAGATTTCAGATTTTGGGATACTCAACTGATATAATTCAAATGTTTCAAATTCTGAAAAAAATCACAAATCCAAAAATAGGACCAAATACTTCTGGTCCTAATCATTTCAGATAAGGGGTACCTAACATGAACCTTAATATCCTGTCAAGTATTCTTACAGAACTTGAAAAGCTGATTTTAAGATTTATATGGAAAAGAAATGACTAAGAATAGCTAAGGAACTGTTGTAAAAGAAAAACATTTGGGTGAGAAGGCTGGGGAATATGACCTACCAGATATTAAAAATTATTTAAAGTTATGTTACCACTGTAGATTTGGCTGTGGAATAAAACGTTCTGAAAGGAGCCCACACATATACAGAAATCTGATATGCTACAGAGATGGCACTGCAGATTAGTGGGGATAGGATGAATTCTTCAAGAAATAGATAAGAACACTGGAAAAAGTAAAATTACACCTCTATCTTATACACAAAATTACAGATGAATTACAAACCTAAACATGAAAGTCAAAATATTTAAACTTACAGAAGAAAATATCTGAAAATATGTTAATAATCTAAGGATTGAGAAGAATTTCCAAAAAATATATTAAAAGTAGTTGCCTAGATGGTATTGCCTAGGTAATACCACTCAGGACAGAGGCATGGGCAAAGACTTCATGACTAAAACACCAAAAGCAATGGAAACAAAAGCGAAAATAGACAAATGGGATCTAATTAAACTAAAGAGCTTCTGAACAGCAAAAGAAACTATCATCATCAGAGTAAACAGACAACCTACAGAATGGAAGAAAATTTTTTCAGTCTATCCATCTGGGCTAATATCCAGAATCTATAAACAACTTAAACAAATTTGTAAGAAAAAAACAAAAAGCCCCATCAAAAAGTCAGCAAAGCATATAAACAGACACTTCTCAAAAGAAGATATTTATTTATGCAGTCAACAAACATATGAAGAAAAGCTCGTCATTGCTGGTCATTAGAAAACGCAAATCAAAACCACAATGAGATGCCATCTCATGCCAGTTAAAATGGCAATCATTAAAAAGTAAGGAGACAACAGATGCTGGACAGGATGTGGAAAAATAGGAATGCTTTTACACAAAGTGTAAATTAGTTCGACCATTGTGGAAGACCAGTGTGGCGATTCCTCAGGGATCTAGAACTAGAAATACCATTTGACCCAGCAATCCCACTAATGTGTATACACCCAAATGAATATAAATCATTCTACTATAAAGACACATGCACACATATGTTTACTGCAGCACTGTTAACAATAGCAAAGACTTGAAATCAACCCAAATGCCCATCAATGACAGACTGAATAAAGAAAATGTGGCACATATACACCATGGAATACTATGCAGCCATAAAAAATGATGAGTTTATGTTCTTTGCAGGGACATGAATGAAGCTGGAAACCATCATTCTCAGCAAACTAACACACGAATAGAAAGCCAAATACATGTTCTCACTCATAAGTGGGAGTTGAACAATGAGAACACATGGACACAGGGAGGAGAACATCACACACTGGGGCCTGTTGGGGGGTGGAGGGCGGGGTAGGGGAGGGATAGCATTAGGAGAAATACCTAATGTAGATGACAGGTTGATGGGTCCAGCAAACCACCATGGCAAGTGTATACCTATGTAACAAACCTGTACGTTCTGCACATTACTTCAGAAATTAAAGTATTTTTAAAAAATGAATGCAAGCATCTTTCTCTCACACACACACAAAAAGTCGCTGCCATAAAGAAAAAAGAAAAAAAAAATGTGAACATTAAAATTAATCAGTCTGGTTCACCAAAAGACATAACAGAGGGGTTGAAAATACAAGTCACAAACTGAGAGAAAACACAATATAATGAAACTAATAATTAATATCCAGAATACATAAAGAACACCCATAAATTAGAAAAAAAAAACCCCAATAGAAAAATGGACAAAGCAAAAAACAAAACAAAACAAAACAAAAACTGTAAACATATGGGAAGGCACTTAACCTCTTTGGTAATTAGGAAAATACAAACAAAAGGATAATGAGATACCTAAGAGTCAGCTAGGACATGGAACAATGGGAACTCTCACACCCTGCTTATTGGGTGCACAAATCACTTACAACTATTTTGGAAAATATTTTGGCATTAGTAAACCTGAATACATACATACTCCATGACTCAGCAATTTCATACTGAGAAATATACTCTAGAAAAATTCTTATATATATGTACCAGAAGACATATAAAAGAATGTATTATCTTACTTATTGGGGTCAAAATTAGAAATTAACTCTGAAATGAAAAAAGTCATACAATATACACTCATCATCCAATATTAACGTTTATGGGGCACATAAATATTCTTTTCATGGACTTATTCATTAATTGCTAAATTCATTAATAAATATTATCCTTTTGTAAATGCAGTGATAAAATACACCTGACAGGTCAATTTTTGATATAGCATGAATAGCTTTTTGTTCACACTGACAGGCATATGTACTTTAATCACCAAACACTGTATCAAGTATTTATAAAAGAAAATCCTTTTTGAGGATTATTTCGGTTTAATCAGGATTAAAAGGAAATAAAACTTTATCCTTATCATCCTTGAGTGAAGTAACTTGAGTTTTAATATCTTTACTTAATCAGAAAATACACAGAGGGAAACAATAATAATATAGAGAGAGCCTGATGTCCTGTGGTCTTCCTTAATAACAACCCATTTTCAAGAGACTATAATCTACTCAACAGAAAGAATTCTACCAAGGATCTTAATCAGATTCTGAGAAAATTCACACTCAAAACAAACAATGTGCCACTAAAACCAAAATAATGTAGGTATTAGCAGCTGTATAAAAGATTAGCCTCAATCTGATGAGTCATTTCTAAGATAATGAAAAGTATAATTCTTTGAAGTGCTTTCTATTCAAGCTGGAAAATATATAAAGATATGGAATCATTTACCAAGCAGCCTGACTGAGAAATTTTTCATTTTCTTTCTTATTTGACTGTATGCAGACATCAAACTAAGAACGGCAAAAATGAATCTCTCTTCCTACAAATTAATACTAACTTTTTCTTTGTTTTCTCAAGGTATTTTACTTTCAGCATCCAAGTCCATAAGAAATTTAGACGATGACATGGTATTTAATACATTCAGGTTGGGGAAAGCCTTTCAGAAGGAAGACACTGCAGAAAAATCAGTTATTGCTCCTTCCCTGGAACAATATAAAAATGATGAGAGTAGTTTCATGAACGAAGAGGAAAACAAAAATTTAAAGGTAAGTGGCAATGTGACTTGTCATTTATTTCAATGAAAATTTAAATGATTCTTACAAATCCTCTGAAAACTGATACTTTTATTAAAAAATGATACTTTTACAAACAGAAGTATATGCAAACAGTCACAATATGTATTAGGACAACTGCCGATATTTCTTACATACCAGGTAGTTCTTCCATCCTGGAGAACACCTCTTATCTAAAAGGTTTTTTTTTTTCTCCTATAAATTTGCATATAAGGTATTTTTAAAGAGTCAAAAACAGTACAGAGCATCTTTGAATTGATCAACAAGAATATTCTACAATTGTATTATAGTTCTACTCCAAATATGATAGCTAAAAAACAAATCAACCTTCTCTTTACAGAACACAGGCTCCAAACATAATTTCTTAAATCATGGTCTGCCACTGAATCTGGCTATAAAACCTTATCTTGCACTAAAAGGATCTGTAGCTTTTCCAGCTGAGAATGGAGTTCAGAATACTGAATCAACACAAGAAAAGAGAGAAATTGGGGATGAAGAAAACTCAGCTAAATTTCCTATAGGAAGGAGAGATTTTGACAGTGAGTAGTTTTTTCAAAATTCAATTCCTACATCCTACCACTATTAAACAGAACTCTGAGTTTAAGCGAACTTGGATGCAATCATAACAAAATCAAATAAGACCATAGCTCAATTACACCTGCCAAATATGTGGGATTAAAAAGCATGTAATTAGTTATTAATAGTTTGGTTTACTCAGAATTAGTTGTACTAGATCCATTCTTCTTTTTTTTCTTAATAAATTTTGTGTGATAATTATAATTCTTTAAACAATTTAAACTTTCTTCTTTCTTCAGTGCTCAGATGTATGCTGGGAAGAGTCTACCGACCTTGTTGGCAAATCTGATACCTGTTGGTCCACATCATCTTTTCAGAAGAAAATAAAAGCATTTAATTGCCAATGGGAAGAGAAGCCTGTAATGCTACTATAACTTGTGTATTATGTTAAATGTCTGATTTAAAAGAAAGTAGTGTTAAGATATATCAGTAACTGAAATGATATGCTTTTTCTGTGCATTAAACTTTGTGAAAATTCTGCATAATTATGACTTATTAGTATTTTTGAACAATGCTTAACATACTAACCTTACATACACTCTAGACCAATACAATAAAGTATCATAATTTACACCCTGATCTCTTAAAAATTAAGCATGTCTTTGGTGAATGGCTTTATATATGCATAAACCTAAAGCATATAATACACAAACTTATAGTCTAAAAAACTGAGTTAACTTTGTCTGGCCAGGAATCAACTTGTCCTTGGCAGTACATTTATTGCTTTTTGCTACTTTAGCTAGTTTGCCATACAATTTATTCTGTGAATCATTTGATTTCTTTGGCATTTTAACATTTTTATGTTGAGGTGGTTCATTTTCATTATCACAGAGAATATTTTCACCATCCAAATCCACCTGTTTCCTTTTTGAGCTTTTATTTCCTGTCAGACTACTTGATTTTCCTGATACTTTTTCATTTTTACTTCTGTCCAGATGAACATTTCCAAAACTCATTCCAATTGTTGATCTTCCAACAGATGAATTTATACCCTCTGTTATGCAAGATAAAAAGAGGGAAAGAATCATATAATATTTAGTATTAATATTCATGAGAACTTTACAATAAACTTTAGAAATGGCTAAAGAATGTTCAAATTTTTATTTTTAAAGTAAATAATACTATAAATAATATAATTAACAAATATAGCTACATTACTATCCCACAACTTTTAAGTTTACTACAGCACCTCTTAGTTAACTTTGGCCAGTAATGAAATTGTCAGTGCTACCAAAATATTTGTTTGAATGCATGACATTTCATCCTTAAACATATGCTACATATTACTTCCTAAATACATTTAGTTACATCAAATTGTGTCCTATTCCTATCCATAAATTTGTATTTAGATTTAACTTTTTAAATAAACTGAGGTCTTTAAAAATATAAATCTTTCAGTCTTCAAAAGAAAAAAAAAAATAAACCTTTACATTTCATAGTACTTTGCAAAAATAATCTAATTTTACTTAAAATTAATTAGTAGACTAGAATTAAATTGTTTTTTAATTGCACAAAAAAGATCCATTACCAGAAAGGTCATTTTCCATGTGAAGAACACACAAAGGCTTTGATGCTGCATTAATATTATTCCAATTATCCTTGTTTATCATGTTGTCATCTTTATAAGTACAAGCAAATTGGGATCTAATTAAGGTTTGCTTCATCTGGTAACAGAAAGAAAAAAGAAAATACGCAATTTATTCACTATTTTATTTCTTCATCTAGATACATACACACTCTATAGTAATCAAGGTATAAAAATTTCCCTTAGAAATTTTTATTTATTACTCATTGTCATTACTCAATCGTTTACTAACCTATAACCTTTTATATTTCATAGTTTGCAAACTCATTCATTGCTATGGCTAGCATTTTTGTTCTTTACCATAAATACTAGCTTTATGTATATTTTTTATTCGTTTTGTAACAGTTATAAAACAATCAGTTTTAGACTCTTCATAGGGCTTTGCTACACACTCCTATGTCAGCACTGCTCTGGAGCATTTTACTGTAAGTAAAATAACAATACAGGTAATACACATAATCATAGAAAAATACAAGTTCTTCATCCTAAGAAGAGCACAACTCTTTTGGAAAAATATAGCATATGGAATTCAAGAAATTAGGGAGGAAGAAATGCTAAGATGAAAAAAAGAACTAAGTGAGGTCAAAAGAATCGAAACCAGAAAACTAGCAAAGAAATAACTGCAACATAAAACAAAATGATATTGGAAAGGCATTATTTATTGAGTACTTAGGAAAACAACAAAGATGATTCAATATATCATTCTAGAAAAATCTGACCAAGTGACTTAATGGTCAGAAATTCAAAATATACTCTTGCATTTATCTACAAATATCAAATAGGAAGACCTGACTTTCTACATAAATAGGAGAAAATTACAAAGATAAACTTAATTCTTGACCATTGAAAAGGATGCCAAAAAAAGCAGTTTTGGAAATGTATTCCACAAACATAAACCAGTGAGCTGTTGAGGGATAGAAATAAACTTTAGAACCAAGTAGCCTATATAAATAATGCCAGTTTCAACAATTACAGATGATGTGTAATATAGCATTCAGGTTTAATGGAGAGATTTCTCCAAATAGTTAGAAGTCTCCTGAAACCATTTTCTGAAATAGACAAAGTTTCAAATACATAATTCAATAAAGATGATTTCAATTATTCAAAAATTTAACATTTTGAGTATATTACCCTGATTATTACTTACAGAGTATTTATTGATACAGTCATGAAAGCTAAAACAGCATGGCTTTATATAATATATTCGATAGTTATATATTATGTTATATATTGAGAGATCAGTGCATTAATCTACTCAGATGTTCATAAAGATAATGGCAGTGAAATCTACTATAGCTTAGAAAAAATTAGAATAATCTCCTGTCCAGCTGCTTCATAAAAGCAAGTTTTCTTAGGATGACAAATTTTCCATCTTTCTGATTAATGATGTCTGTGACAATCTCCATCTCCCAGATCACGAAAAATTATGTTCCATGTGCTTAAATGAAGCATTAGACAATTGGAGTTTTATCTTCCATTTAAGCATAAAAATGCACAAAATTGAAACCACCTGATCTTTGACAAACCAGTCAAAAACAAGCAATGGGGAAAGGATTCCCTGTTCAATAAATGGTGTTGGGAAAGCTGGCTAGCCATGTGCAGAAAGCAGAAACTGGACCCCTTCCTGACACCTTACACTAAAATTAACTCCAGATGGATTAAAGACTTAAACATAAGACCTAACACCATAAAAACCCTAGAAGAAAATCTAGGCAAAACCATTCAGGACGTAGGTGTAGGCAAGGACTTCATGACCAAAACACCAAAAGCATTGACAACAAAAGCCAAAATAGACAAATGGGACCTAATCAAACTCCACAGCTTCTGCACAGCAAAAGAAACAATCATTAGAGCGAATCGGCAACCAACAGATTGGGAAAAAATTTTTGCAGTTTACCCATCTGACAAAGGGCTGATATCTAAAATTTACAAAGAACTAAAACAGATTTACAAGAAAAAAACTAACAAGCCCATTCAAAAGTGGGCAAAGGATATGAACAGACACTTTACAAAAGAAGACATACGTGAGGCCAACAAACATATGAAAAAATGCTCATCATCACTGGTCATCAGGGAAATGCAAATCAAAACTACATTGAGATACCATCTCACGCCAGTTAGAATGGCGATCATTAAAAAATCTGGAGACAACAGATGCTGGAGAGGATGTGGAGAAATAGGAACACTTTTACACTGTTGGTGGGAGTGTAAATTATTTCAACCATTGTGGAAGACAGTGTGGCGATTCCTCAAGGACATAGAAATAGAAATTCCATTTGACCCAGCAATCCCATTACTGGGTATATATCCAAAGGAATACAAATCATTCTACTATAAGGACACGTGCACACGAATGTTCATTGCAGCACTGTTTACAATAGCAAAGACCTGGAACCAACCCAAATGCCCATCGACGATAGACTGGATAGGGAAAATGTGGCACATATACACCATGGAATATTACGCAGCCATCAAAAACAATGAGTTTGGGTCCTTTGTAGGGACATGGATGAACCTGGAAACCATCATTCTCAGCAAACTGACAGAAGAGCAGAAGATCAAACACCGCATGTTCTCACTCATAGGCGGGTGTTGAACAATGAGAACACATGGACACAGGGAGGGGAGCACTACACACTGGGGTCAGTTGGGGAGATATAGGGGAGGGACGGTGGGGGGTGGGAAGCTGGGGACAGATAGCAAGGGGCGAAATGCCAGATGTAGGTGATGGGGAGGAAGGCAGCAAATCATACTGCCACGTGTGTTCCTATGCAACAATTTTGCATGTTCTTCACATGTACCCCAAAACCTAAAATGCAATAAAATAAAGGGGAAAAAATAATAATAATAATAACAACAATGTAGAAGTTAAAGTAAAAACATTGAACATGTGTTTACTTTTATTTGTCTAATATAATTTCCAGGAGAATAGGGGACAACAGTGAATAGATCATATTCAAAGACATAAGGCAAAGAGTTTTCTAGAATTATTTTTTAAAAATTTCTCAGATTAATGAAGTCTTTAGAAGAATAAATATAAGTAAATCCATATGACAGTTGACCCTTGAAAAACTCTGGGATTAGAGATGCTGACCTCTATACAGTCAACAATCTATATATAACTTTTAACTCCCTGAAAACTTGACTACTAATTGCTTACTGTGACCTTACCTATAACATAAACAGTCAACTAATATGTATTTTATATGTATTATTATATACTGTGTTCTAAAATAAACTAGATAAAAGAAAATGTTATTAAAATCCTAAGAAAGAAAAAATATATTTACTATTCATTAGGTGGAAATGGACTATCATAAAGGTCCTTGTTAATGTTGAGTAGGGCTGCATTTGCTGAAAGAGCCATAAATAAATATATTTCAGGAAGAAAAAAAAAAAAAAGAAAAGAAAGGTGAAACTATACAATATCAAAAAACTATTTTTTTTGAAGTTGAACAGAATGGACTCTTGAAAATGAATGGGACTACAACCCACTACCTTCACGAATCCCTATGAATGCAAGATTTATTATATAGCTTCCACCACAAGATGCCCTATAAATAACTGAAGATTTTAAGAAGTTCTTTCTACACTTTATTAATTGTATAACTACAGATTTAAAGCAGTTGATAAACCTATTTAAATAAGCTTTATTAATAAAATTGACTGTATATCACATAATAGTAGCATTATCCATGAACTTTTATTTCCATCTGCAAAACCAGTACTAACTGTTAACATTATCTTTTCACACATTTTTTTCACTTCACAAAAGTTATGGCTCATAGAGAATTATAAACATACTGCTTATAAAGAGTTATAAAGAGTATATTAGATGCTAAGTGGCTGGCTTGGATCACTCTTTGTACCCCAATAGTGATGGCACCTAGAGTTAGCTTG